GACCCTCGATGCGGTGCCTCCATGCATCCCGCCCCCCCCCCCCCCCCCCCCCCCCCCGGATTGTTCCCGCACTTGGTTGCTGCCCGCCGAGGATCAGCGCATCCTCCCGTGCCCCCCCGCCCCAGGAGGGGTCTGGTCCCTGCCTGGCCGCGAGCATCACGCGTGATGGTGGAGCAGAGAGGCAGGGAGGGCGTGAATTGAAAGAAATGGGATGTGCAAGCAGCAGGGCGCAGAGGGTGCGCGCTGGGGATGCTTCCCCCACAACCACCAAGGCACGTTTTTAGGTGCCTGACGATGCTGGGGTTGAGCAGGGACACCCAACCCTGCAACCCAGGCGAGGAGGGAGCCTTGGCCGGCACTATTTATAGCTGCTCATGCTCCGCTTTCTCCTTGACTGTCTTCCCTCTCAGCTGTCTCACGCCGGGTAGCAGCAGGAGGCGATGCCATCCTGGCACCTGCTGGGATGTGGCACTGGGAGAGGGGGGCAGCTGCCATCCCCGTGCCCTGGGAAACGTTTGGGGGAATGGAAATGGTGTTGGGATGGGGGGGGGGGTTGGAAGGAGGAAATGGGCTCCTGTCTCTGAGGTGGAAGGATGGAGAAAGGTCTGGGCCAGCAAGGTGTGGGTTGGTTTTCCTGCAGCTCCTACCTGGGCTAAAAGCCACCTCTTAGGGAGAGCAGTGCTTTGCTATTCCTCTTTGATCCAATTGCATAATTCCCAGCCTTGTTCAGGCCCTGATTTCTTGCTGGGGATGTGGGTAGCATGGAGGAAATCTTAGTCCTGAGCTGAATGCCTGGGCTGTCAGTCCTCTGTTAGGTGGTATTTTGGGACACAGGCTGGGGGACCTGCAGGTCTCTTGGCCCTTAGTCCCTGTCCATGGACAAGGACTTTCCATGACCCTGGGACTGGCCCAGTGCATCCCTTTGGACATGTGAAAAGGGCTCAGAGCAGCAAAAGTGGACTGAGGTGCTACTGGAACAGGCTGGTGAGGTGCTGCCATGTGCTGGGGAGATGCTTGGATGTACTGGGAGATGCTAGGACGTGATGGGATTCACCCAGTTTGGCTCTAATTATGTCTGAATGAGTGCAAAAAGGCAAAGAGTGTTGTTTGTGCTCCAGTAACTTTCAGTAACTGGAAGCTGCTGTGTTACAAACCAGCCCAAAAGAGCAAAATTGCTGAGTGTGGGGATGGTGAGTGAGGATAGCAAGTGGCCATCGCCTTGTGCCTCCAGTGCAGGACATGGGGCTGCCTCCTCCTTTTCCCCCTCCTCCTTTTCCTGCAGTGGTGGGGATTTGTGCAAAGCTCCCAGCACCCGGCTTGGGCTTTTTTTATCCCTGGCTGCTCTTCCATTGACATTCCTAGCTGTGCCACCGGCTTCAGCGCTGCTCGCTAACCCCTTTTACAGGCAGCTAAATATAGCCCAGGCAGCCAAGGAAAATCTGCTCAGCTGGGCACGTGGGGCTGAACAGCACTGCTGCAGCCTCACACGGTGCTGGGAGGGCACGGGGTGGTGGCACCTTGTCCCCCATCCCCATCCATGGTGAGCATCATGGCACTGCTTGCTTGGATGCACTCCGTGCTCACATCACGTTGTGCTCACATCACGTGCGTCTTTCCATGGGCTTCTGCACACCTGTAGTGTCCTAGTGGGGACACTCTGATGGCTCTGGGGGACACCCCATCACACCTGGGATAGAGCTATATCATGATGTATGGTGTCCTACGTGATGGGGTGGGAAATGCACATGAAGAGCTGGGGAGATTTGTTCCTGATTTAGGATTGCATCCCTGCGAAGCAATGCAGAGGGCTCAGATCCAGAGCTGGGATGAGCTGGGGTTGGCAGGTGCTGAAAATCGCAGAATCTTAGAATCATAAAGGTTGAAAAATGTCTCTAAGATCATGTTGTCCAACTCCAACCCATCCCCACTATGCCCACTGACCACATCTCACAGTGCCACGTCTCCATGGATCTTGGACACCTCCAGGGACGGTGATCCCACCACCTCCCTGGGAAGCCTTTGCCAATGCCCAACCTTTCTTTCTGAGAAGAAATTTTTTCCTAATACCAAACCTGATCAATCAAAAATGTCTCCAAGATGGATTTATGGCTCCAAGAAAAGAGCTGTGTCTTCCATGGTCACCTTCAGGTCATGCCCTCACTCCTCTTCTCGCTTCCTCAACTCCCTGCCCCTGCACCCCTATGGAATTGGATCCTGGTGGCTTGGGGATGAGATTTAGCTGATCACAGAGCTTAATCCTCCAAAATTTTCCACCTTGTGGGAGGCCCAGCAGTTACTGTGACAGTGCAGAAGCTCCTGAGTGACGCTTCAATCCATCACCAGCCCTGCATCTGGCCACTATAATGAGAAAGACAAACAGCATCCATCCTGAGTTGGCAGGGAAATGGGAAGGCAGCTGGGAGCCCTGCCTGCAAGCACAGCTACATCAAGCCTCAAGGGCAGAGGGTGGCCAGAAATCCTTGGTCCTTCACTTTTCTGGATGTGATAGAAGATCCCAGCCCAGTGGATGTTGAGAAATTGGTGGTGACCAATGGCATTTCTTATGGATAACTCGAGCTGAACTGTGCTGCCACAGCCATGGACAAAAAAGTGACGGAGATGGAGCTAAAGTGCAGAAGGTTTTGCCTTCAAGGTGGCACTGGCCATCCTGAAAGTCACCCCTGATGAGCACTGTAAGCCACCCAACCCCTGCCTTATTTTTTCCACTGGTTTGGAATGCCAGCTCCTGTGATGCTGCTGTCCGTAATTAAAAGCTATGCAATCGCCCATTGCTTGTCGCTCTGTGTCTGCTCATTACAGAGGAGCTTAGCTTAAAACTAATTCCCCGACTCACAGGCAAGGGGGAAGGGAGATGCTTTAATCTCGAGACTTTTGTATTTGTCCTTCCCATCATCTCCTATTGGAAGGACAGCATGAGGCTGTAAGGGTCCCGGGTGCCCCAAAGGCTCATCCAGCAGTGGGGCCAGGAGCATCACACACCCATCTCCCCCCAGATGTGCCTGCTTGCCTCGTGCCTGCGCCGAGCGATGCTCCGATTTTGCTGGTTTTCCAAATACAGACTCAATTATAAATTATTATTAATTACTGTAATGTAGATTTATCCGTGAATAGCATTGCTTGGGCTCAGCAGGAACCCTTCTGGCTGCGCCCACGGCTAAGCTGGTATTGTCCCACATACTGGTACATGAGATCGTTTGTTTTCCACCCGCTCCCCAGCGGGATGACAACTCTGAAACAGAACCTGGTCCCTCCACTGCCACTCAGGTGCCACCTCCAGCCCTAAAATCCCCCCCCAGAGGTGGAAAATCCCCCCAGCAGGGCAGGACAGATGTCATTTTGTTTGTGGCCCGGCTGCCCCCAGGGCTCCTGAGCTGGGAAGGGATGGTGGCACAGAGCATCCCATGCACGCTCAGCAGCACCCATTGTCTGCTGGGACAATAATGCCAGCGTGCCCCTTGGTGCCTAGGGAATGCCACCTGCCCTGCCAGGACCTGGTCCTGCTGGTGAGGATGTCGCAGGGTGGGAACAGCAGGGGATGAGTGGTGATGGCGGTGCTGTGACACTCATCCCTCTGGTAGGGGATGTGAGGGGTGACGGTGACATGAGGACGTCACCTGCGTAACGTCAGAGCCGAGCAGCCGGTCTCACTGCAGCACTGCCATCTGCTGGGACAGCGTCAGGGGACGCGGGTGGGATTTCTGCTGCTGGCCGGGCAGCAGGTGGGAATCGGGGAAGCTTCGTCTGTGGGCAGTAATAGCGGACTGAAGAGATACTGGGACAGGCTGGGGAGATGCTACGAGGTCCCTGGGGTGTCCCTGTGATGTCTCTGGGGTGACCTCTGGATGTCTGTTTGAAGTCCCTGGGGTGTCCTTTGAATGTACCTGCGGTGTCCCTGTAATGTCCCTTAGATGTCCCTGGGATGTCCCTTAGATGTCCCCCACTGCTCCAGGTGCCCCAGCTCTGCCAGGCTTAAAATTCACAGTGTTTCCTCCTCCTGAAGCCACACACCGGGGAAGCCCCTGTTTTCCACAGCAGCAACCCCAGGGACAGCAGTGGAACCCAACTCAGAGTTTCCAAAACCTTACAAGCTGTTAGACAGGGGCACGGTGCTCCTAGAGAGGCTGTGGGTGTCCTGTGCCTGTGTTTGAGGCATTTGAGCAGCACTCCTAGTGATGTGCTTTAAGGTGGGGTAGTAGAACCACTGGCAGACTGTAGGTCCCTTCACATCAGAGCTCCTCTCCTCTCCTCTCCTCTCCTCTCCTCTCCTCTCCTCTCCTCTCCTCTCCTCTCCTCTCCTCTCCTCTCCTCTCCTCCTCCATTCCACTTCACATCTTCACATCTTCACATCTTCACATCATCACATCTGCATCTCTTTCCCTTCCCTTCCCTTCCCTTCCCTTCCCTTCCCCTTTCTCTTTCTTTCTTTTTTTCTTTTTCCTTTCTTTTTCTTTTTCTCATTCCTTTTCTCATTCCTTTCCTTTTTCTCTTCCTCTTCCATTTTTGTTTTTTTTCTTCACTTTTTTCTTCTTCTTTTTTTCTTTCTCTTTCTCTTTTTTTTCTTTTTATTTTTTTTCCTTTCCTTTTTCTTTTTTTTTTCTTTTTCTTTTCTTTTCCTTTTTATTTTTCTCTTTTTCTTTCCCTTTTTCTTTTTCTTATTTCTTTTCCTCTTCCTTTTTCTTTCTCTTTCTCTTTTTCCTTTCTCTTCTTTCTCTTTTTCTTTCTCTTTTTTCCTTTTTCTTTCTCTTTTTCTTTCATTCCTTTTCTTTTTCTTTCATTCTTTTTCTTTTCCTTTCTCTTTCTCCTCCTTTTCTTTTCCTCTTCCCATTTCCATTCCAACGTTCCCCTCCCATTCTCACGCCCAGCACCGCCCCCCCCTCCCCGCCGCTCCCCGCACTCCTCAGCCCCGCACATCCCCCTCCCCCCCCCCGGCCCCGCCCCGCTCAGCCCCCGCCCCCCCGCAGCCACCTCCCCTCCCCCAACTCAGCGCCGCCCCGGGGAGGTGCAGAGGCCGCATTATGGGGGCCTGCCTGGGGGTCTGCTCGCTTCTCAGCTGTGTGAGTGTCCCTGGGGGATTTGGGGGGGGAGGTGGGGGCTGCGCTGATTCCGAGAGCTGAGGCTGGGAGGGGGGGGAGGGCGCTTGGAAGAGGTGGGGGCGACCGGGAGATGCGATCCGATGCAGCCGACGAGAAGCAGAGGAATGCCGCCCTTCGGACCCTGGAGGATGAGGGAACCCCTGTGTGGGGGGGGGATGAAGGACAAACGCTGGGGGGTGTCCCCGTCTGTATCCGCGAGGATGCCGTGGGGTTACCCCTCTGTCCCCGGGGGATGCAGGGGACAACCATTGCAGGGCAGCCCACTGGCCCACCAGCCAAAGGGAACCCCATGGGGTTTGCAGGGACTCATTGATGGGGAGGGGGGAACCCAGAGCATCCGGAGGAGCCCACAATGTTGGGTCACCCCTATGGGATGAAACCTTTGTAGTGGGAAAAAGCTGAGCCCTCCCCTGCACCCACCTCCAGGGAGGATCGGGGCTGTCCCCAGGGGTTTCAGGGCATCCCAGGAGGAGCTGTAGCCCTAATAGTCGGGGGGATGAGGGTCCGGCTGCTCCTGCTGGGTGGGTGCTGTGCTGGTGACACAGCTGGGTGCTCCTGGTGCTGTGCCCATGACGCACAGCCAGGGCAGGGCTGGGAAACCTTCCTGCATGAATAGGAGCTGCTTTCGCAACTCGGCTTCGTAGTTTCAGAGGTGGAACTGTCATAACGTATGGCCTGAGTGCAGCATGTGTCAGGATACCTCTCCTTATGGGCACGTGTAGGAAAAGCCAGGAGTGGGATTTCCATGGGCAGTGTATGGTTCTGACATAAAAAAAAAAAAAGCATTTTGGTCCAAGCTGTGGGAACAACGCGGAGTCACGTCCTTTAGGGTCTGCATAGGTTTAAGATCCTGCATTTCACATTGCTGTCAACGTGGTCATGGGGCAATGATGGCATCTACAAGTTGCCCACCTCCTGACCCCATGCTGACCGCATGCTTTGGTACTGATTAACCTGCAGGGTCATTCATTTAATGGGAGATAACAACCGGTTGCTTGGCATTGCTTTGGGCTGACTCAGTCTGTGCAGCCTCAGGGGTACTGGGGTAAGGGCAGCCTGCAAGAAGAGGTGTTGGGTTATTGTTGCTGTTAGTGGGTTGTTACTGAGTGGTTGTTGCTGTTTGTTGGGCTGTTGTTGGGTCATTGCTGTTGTTTGTTGGGTTGTTGTTGGGTCATTGCTATTGTTTGTTGGGTTGTTAGTGAGTGGTTGTTGCTGTTTGTTGGGCTGTTGTTGGGTCATTGCTGTTGTTTGTTGGGTTGTTGTTGGGTCATTGCTATTGTTTGTTGGGCTGTTAGTGAGTGGTTGTTGCTGTTGCTGTTTGTTGGGTTGTTGTTGGGTCATTGCTGTTGTTTGTTGGGTTGTTGTTGGGTCACTGCTGTTTGTTGGGCTGTTAGTGAGTGGTTGTTGCTGCTTGTTGGGTTGTTGGTGGGTTGTTACTGAGCGGTTGCTGCTTTTTGTTGGGTTGTTGTTGGGTCATAGCTGTTTGTTAGGTTGTTGGGTTGTTGTTGGGCTGTTATCGAGAGGTTGTTGCTGATTGTTGTGTCATTGCTGTTGATAGTCGGGTTGTTGGGTTGTTGTTGGGTCATTGCTGTTGTTTGTTGGGCTGTTGTTGGGTCATTGCTGCTGTTTGTTAGGTTGTTGGGTTGTTACTGAGTGCTTGCTGCTGTTTGTTGGGTTGTTGGTGGGCTGTTATCGAGTGGTTGTTGCTGATTGTTGGGTCATTGCTGTTGATTGTTGGGTTGTTACTGAGTAGTTGCTGCTGTTTGTTGGGTTGTTGTTGGGTTGCTGTTGGCTTAGGACCTTGCAGATTGTTTTGCATTGTTTGTGCTCCCTGAGCTGCCGTTCCATGCGAGCCACACTGGCACTGAGCTGTGTTCAATGAGGAAGTCGACAGTGAAACCAGAGGGATTAATCTTTAATCAGCAGCTGAAACATGACGCTTCCCCATCACCACCTCCGTGCTGTGGCTGCTTCCCTTTACGTGCTTTTTCCACCCTGCAGGATGCTGCCTGCTCCCTTGGCTGTGGGCTCCCCAAAACCTCACACGTGCAGCATACTGATGTAGCCACCCCAGGGAAAGCCAGCTTAGGGACATGTCTTAATGGAGGGGTGGGTGATGGGTTGGTGGTTGGACTTGGTGGTCTTAGAGGGCTTTTCCAACTGTAATGATCCTGTGAAAGTGGGGTGCTTGAGGTCATGCCTCTTGTACATATTCAAGGATGCTCTCATGGGATGCCCTGCAGTATTCCCATAAGCAAGTGCATCTCCTGGCTGTGCTCATCTAGGGGGCTTCTCCCTTTTTCCTTCTCTTTCCTTCTCTTGCTGCTGGATTTCTTTTTAAAGCAGCTGTGGGTGCTGGGGATGTGCACAAGCTGTGGTTTTCGTGTTAAAGGCACCTTCACAGAACTTGCAAAGCTCACAATGCCCAAAAAGCTTCAACATTAGGAAGCGACAGCGGTGACCCCCCATTCAGCACAACAAACTTCACGTTTGCAAGGCAGAAAGAGCAGTTCAAAGGGAAGAAAAGGAGCTTTGAAAGCAAAATAAATCGATGCTGTGAGCTTACAGGTAGAGAGAAAGCAGCTCAGTGAGGACCAGAGAAGGGGGCAAATGGGCAAACGCCTCCTTGGAGGCACCTTGCCATGGTGCTGGGATGGTGGTGGTGCTCCCATATTTGACCTTGGCAGTTTAAGGGAAACCCAGGGGACACATTATTTTTGTTTTCTTCTCAGATATTTAACTCAGGACCTTTCACTTCTATGGTGAGGAGAGGGCTGATGGTCCAGAAATGTTTCTTAAAGTGTTTCTAACGTTACTTATTCTCTATCTTTACACTCTTTTTGGAAATAGGGGTTTTAGACATGGCCTCACAGCACCATGGGGGTGATGAAGGCTGAAAATAGTCTCCGGTCTGAACAGACACATTCAGAGCAGGATGTGGTGGCCAGGGCTGGCTGCTGGCCCTCACCTGCCCCATAACAAATGTTACAGCATGTAGTAATGCAAAACCCTTTGGTTATTCTTCCTCTAAGGCAAGGAATATTGGCCGTTTGGGTGCTGCTTGGAGCTCTTCCAAACCTCGCAGGCATTAAATAGGTGTGTTGAGTATCTCAATTATTGGACAATCTAGTGGGAACAACATTTAGAGGAGCAATGAAGTCAAACTTGGACCAGAGATGCAAACAGCATCTCCCCAGTGCTCCTGCCACCATGGTTTGTGGGATTTGGGCAGCCAGGACTCGTAGGGATACAGTGTGTTTTCCCCATCTGCAAAATGAACCCAGCAGCTGAGTGCATCCCACACCCCTTTCCCACTTATCTCTGGGCTCTCGTTGCAGGTGTCCTGCCTGTGTGGCTCAGCACCATGCCTGCTCTGCGGCTGCTGCCCCTCGGCCAGGAACTCCACCATCTCCCGTCTGCTCTTCACCTTCTTCCTCTTCCTCGGTACGCTTGTCTCCATCATCATGATCATCCCTGGCGTGGAGAAGGAACTGCACAAGGTAATGCTGTTGCCTTCAGGGCAATAGCTGGACTTGATCAAGGGCGTTAACTCAGGATGGGTACATAGCAGAGACTGAATTTCTGGGGGCATGTCATTGCTTCTGATGCCTTTTTCCCCATCTCCTCATCCTTGCAGCTCCCAGGTTTCTGCAGGGGCAGCGACTCAGTGCTGGGGGTTCAAGCTGACGTTGACTGCAGTGGTTTCCTGGGCCATAAGGCCGTGTACCGCATGGGCTTTGCCACAGCTGCCTTCTTCTTCCTCTTTGCTGTGCTGATGGTGTGTGTGCGCAGCAGCAAGGACCCGAGAGCTGCCATACAGAATGGGTGAGTGTGTCCCCATGCTTGGCTGGAAGCTTGGATGGAGGCCATTGCCATATTTTTGCCCTTTTTATCCCTGTTTTGGGCATGGGATAAAGCAGAAGGGCAGTTTGAGCTCACTCTTAAGTTTTGAGGTCCTCTGACTTGTACTCCACAGTATTTGTGATGTGTGCAATGTGCTGGGGAATTTGAGGTGTCTGCTGGGCATCCCTCTGACACTGCTCCCCATGGGGTGCCCCCGGCCCGTGGTCCTATCCAAGGAGCTGTGCATCCCTGGTGTTGGGAACTGCTGGGAGTTCCCATTTTCAGACCCTGACTCCTCTCCCCTCTTGCAGCTTCTGGTTCTTCAAGTTCCTGCTGCTGGTGGGGCTCACAGTGGGGGCCTTCTACATCCCTGATGGCTCCTTTACATCAGGTGAGGGGCTGTGGGTGGGCAGGGGGGTGTCAGCGGGGTTTGTGCCCTCCATGTCCTCACATTTGGTGCTGCTCTGATGAACCCACACCACTGCAGTCCCATTACTGACCCACTTCCCTCCCACCACCCAAGTTTGGTTCTACTTCGGCGTGGTCGGCTCCTTCCTCTTCATCCTCATCCAGCTCATCCTCCTCATCGACTTTGCCCACTCCTGGAGCCAGCTGTGGCTGCGCAATGCAGACGAGAGCAATGCCAAGGGCTGGTATGCAGGTGGGTGCTGTGCCTCAGGGGCTCACGTGGGGCCAGCTGTGATGCTCGTGGCCCTGCTCCAGCCCCTTCCCTTCTCCCCTTCCTCCTCAGCCCTTTGCATTGTCACCTCCATCTTCTATGCTGCCTCCATCACGGCCATTGCTTTGCTCTATGTCTACTACACCAAACCCCAGGGCTGCACGGAGGGCAAAGTCCTCATCAGCATCAACCTCATTCTCTGCCTTATTATCTCGGCCGTATCCATCCTGCCCAAAATCCAGGTGAGATGGTGGGAGGGGGTGGCCTTGCTGCCTCCCCCTTGTGCAGGGCTGAGCCCTGAGCCACTCCCGTGCTGTTTGCAGGAAGCTCAGCCACACTCAGGGCTGCTGCAGGCATCTCTCATCACCCTTTACACCATCTTCATCACTTGGTCTGCCCTGGCCAATGTCCCCAGTAAGTGCTCTCATTGCCTTGGGGGGGTGCGTGGGGTCAGGGATGGCACTGACACCTGTGACCCCCCCCTCCCAGCCCAGGAGTGTAACCCCACACTGCTGCTGAGAAACAGCACTGGCTCAGCTGCAGACCCACAGCTGACAACGTGGTGGGACGCGCCGAGCATTGTGGGGCTGGTGGTCTTCATCCTCTGCACGCTCTTCATCAGGTGAGGCCGTGACAATGCCATTGTGTTCCTCAACGCTGGGACCCTTCAGGGTCCTGCACACAGCTTTTAGGATGTCAGAAGGAGTTGCACGAGCTGCATCCCCCAAAGCGCTCTGCTGCCTCAGGGACACCCCTGCAGGACATCCCCTCACCTGACCCATCTGCCCATCTGTCTGTCTGCTCACAGCATCCGCTCCTCAGACCACACCCAGGTCAATAAGCTGATGCTGACGGAGGAGAGCGGGGCTGGAGCTGGGACTGAGGCAGCAGCAGAGAGCGGGGTGCACCGAGCCTACGACAACGAGCAGGAGGGCGTCACCTACAGCTACAGCTTCTTCCACCTCTGCCTCCTCCTTGCTGCCCTCTACATCATGATGACCCTCACCAACTGGTACAGGTGGGCTGCGCTCCTGGGGACCAGTTGTGATCCTGTCCTCTGCTCCTCCCTTCTCTGGGATTATCATTGCTCTTGGGCTGGGCACAGGTGCTGCGATGGGTGCAAACCTAATATGTAACCCATCAGCATTCATTATTTGGAGGGATCCAAGCACCCAATGGATGCACTCTGGTTGGGTCTGAGTTTACTGGGTACCCTCTTCGGCTTTCCTTTGGCTTGCAGCACTCCCTATAAGCTTGCAGCGTACCCCCTTCAGCTTGCAGCATCTCCCTTCAGCCTGCAGCATCCCTGCTCTGCTCGCAGCACCCCCTCTCTTCTTGCAGCATCCTCCCTGTGCTTGCAGGACACCCTTCAGCATGCAGCATCCCCCTTTGCTCACAGCTGCTGCACCAGGGTCACATCCCCCAGCACGCAGCACAAACCTAAGCATCCCCCTTTCGTTTGCTGTTCCAGGCCTGATGACAGCCTGCAGATGCTGCACAGCCCCTGGACGGCCGTGTGGGTGAAGATCAGCTCCAGCTGGGCCGGGCTGCTGCTCTACGTGTGGACGTTGGTGGCCCCCCTGGTGCTGCCAGAGCGGGATTTCAGCTGAGCACTGCTGCAGGGTCCCCTCCTTGCCCAGTGCCTTACATCTAGACTTGAGTTTTGCACGTGGGTTTTGTGCCTTCTTGTGGATTTTCTATTTTAATTTAAAAGGGATAAAGTGCCAAGCAGGGGCAATCAGCGAGAAGGCTGAGAATGACTTGAGGATTGCTGTAAAGCTCTTCTACCCTCTGTGCTTGTCTAGTGCCTTCAGCAGTGCCTCCAGCCCCTCCTCTTTCAGTGTTTGGAGGGGGTTGCACAGGATGCTCTCACCTGCCTTGGTGCCCTGGGACTGTGGTGCCTTTTGGATGGTGATAAGGAACCAGAACCTGGCATCAGGCACTTACCCAGGGAGCCCTGAGGACAGCCATGCTGGGGGCTGAGTGTTGCTTGTGCCCCCTGAGCTTTGGTGGCTGGGTGGCTCCTGCAGGGCTCCCCTTGCCTTCTGTATAAAGTTTTGTTTGGAAAAAAGCCCAGACACCCTTGTGTCCTCTTGGCATCTTTCATCATGTGCGTTCGTGGTGGCTGCACATTGGGGCATCACCTGCATTGTGCATGCTGTGTGCATCACCTTGCATCCTGCAGCCTTTGGTCTGAGTTTTGCATCCTTCCTCCTGCATCCCAGTACTCTTCAGTCTGCACTGTGCACCCTGCACCCTGCATCTTCCATCCTGAACCCTGCAGCCTTCACCCTACAACCTTCATCCCGCAACTCACACCCTTCATCCCTACACCCTTCATCCTATACCCTACATCCTTCATCCTGCATTGTACACCCTGCATTCTCTTGCATCCTTCATCCTTCCTCCTGCATCCCAGCATCCTTCAGTCTGCATTGCACACCCTGCATCCTCCATCCCTGCATCCTCCATCCCTGCATCCTCCATCCCTGCATCCTCCGTCCTTGCATCCTCCATCCCTGCATCCTCCGTTCATCCTTGTATCCTAGCATCCTTCATTCTGCATCCTACATCCTTCATCCTACATCCTTTCAGCCTTCATCCCGCATCATCCATCCTTACATCCGGCACCCTGCACGCTCCACCCTGCATCCTTCATCCTACATCTTGCATCCTGCATCCTTTTCCCCTGCATCCGCGCATTGCATCATTTCTCCCACACCTCTGCAGCCTCTGGGACGTGCAGGGCTGCCCCCCAGGGACGAGCTGTGCACCGCAACGGGAACGAGGGGCGGGGACGAGGCGGGGACAGGGGCGGGGAGGTGCGGGGTCCCGTTGGTAGCCACGAGGTGGTGCTGGCGGCACGCGCCCCGCGTCCTCCTGCAGAATGCAACCCTTCACCCTGCATCCTGCGCCCTTCATCCTGCACCTTTCACCACGCAGCCTCCATCCTGCACCTTGCCTCCTGCATCCTTCGCCGTTCATCCTGCACCCTTCAGTCTGCACCTTTAAGTCTGCATTGTGCACCGTGCAGCCTGCATCTTTTGTCCTGCACTTTACAGTCTGCATCCTGCAGCACCCATCCTGCAACCTCACCATGCACAATACATCCTGCACCTTTTACCTCATGTCCTGCATCCTGCACTGTCTCATGCACCCTTCATCCTGCACCCTTCACTAATCATCCTGCACCCCACACGCTGTGTCTTGCACCCCTACATCCTTCCCCCTGCACCTTTCACAGTACATCCTGCACCCTGCATCGTGTATGCTGCACCCTGCATCCTTCACCTTGCATCCTGCACCTTGCAACATCTGTCCTGCATCCTCACCATGCACAACACATCCTGCATCCTTCGCCTTGCATCAAGCACCGTGTCATGCATCCTTCACCCTACACCCTTCATCCTTACCCCTTCACCACTCATCCTGCACCCCATACTTTGTCACCTGCACTCTGCAACCTTTCTGCATCCCCCAGGTGTGCTGGGCTGTGTGAGCAGAGCTGGGCTGTGCTCCTTAGGCAGCTCAGCTGGGCTGTGACGTGCCTTATGTGTGTCTCTATGTGCCCCCATGTGCACCACAGGCAACTGTGAATCTGCAGGAATAACCCACCAGCAGTGATCATTCCCATGAGTTTTCTTGGGGAGTTTTGAATGGCCCAAAGCACGGCTATGGATTTATTTCACTTATGTCTCCTCTCCATTATTTATCACAATACAAACAGCCTCTGCTCTTTGTTTTCTTCATGGAACAGTTCGGCCAATGAACCCCAATGGGCAAACCCAACTCTAATTGCTCTAATTACTCCAATTCACCCTCCTTGGTTGGGGCACCTCAGAATTACAACCTTGGGGGACAATGAGAGTAATGTGAGAAACTGAGGAAAACTCCGCAGCTTGTTTCACCAAAGGTGACTGTGATCATTGCCTTGCTAAATTCTAAATGCTAAAGTGGGGCGAAATAAAGCAGAGAGGGGTCAGGGCTAAAATCCCACAGGGGTGTCACTCTCCTTTGGGTCACAGAGGAGCCGGGGATCTCAGTGACATCACCAGAAGGCAGGAGGGGCCCTCATGCCCAGGGGGTCCCAAGCAGAGCCCCCGCAGCAGCGATTTATTCTGTGCGGTGCGTGCTCTCTCCTGGTTTTATTTTATTCATGGGATTAACACATCGGGCAGCAGCCTGCCTGGCTTTTGCTCTGAAGAGGAGGGGAAAGCGTTTCCATAATTCATTTAAATGAGGCACCTGGGGAAATCCAAATTGGACTTCCAGCCTGTTCACGGTGCCACGCAGAGCCCCGCGATCCGCAGCCGGAGCCATTAATGCCTCCCAGATGGACTGCAGAGCATCTATAATTAATAGTGGAGCAAAACCACGGCCCAGCCTCCAAAGCAAACACCTCCTGCTCCGAGCAGCTCCTGCACCCCACATCCCTGGGGCAGGGATTTATTTCGGGTCACCTTCTTCCTCTCCCAAGAAGCCCAATGGAGCATCCAGGGGAGCACCAGAGTGAGAGCAGCAGGAGAAGGAACCCAGAGATGCATTAAATCACAGCTCTTTTCTGGCCTTGGGGATGAGGGGTGCTGGTGAGGATGATAGGGTTTGCATCAGCCCCTTTTTTGCTGCTGCATTGGATGTTCTCCATGCAGAAGGCAGCAGTTTTGGGGCCAATGGCAGCCACGTGCTGCACACTCCCCTGCTGATCCCTGTGCTGCTTCTGTACTTCCAGCACTGCCTTTCTGTACTTCCAGCATCGCTTTGAAGAGCACAGAAAGGATGAGAAGGAAGACAGGGGAAAAAAAATCAAGCTTGAACCCTGCTGCTAGAGCAACATCTGTATCTATAAATACCAATGTGAGCAGGAACAGGCTGTATCTCCTGCAGCTCCCAAAGGCAGCAGAGCCGCCTCGCCCCAGCTAACCTCCTTCCAACACATGCTCCTGTAATGCACACAAGTCACTGCTGCACAAAAAAATCTCTCTAGCTCACTGCTTCCTGCTTATGGCTTTCCCAAAGATCCCATGTCCCACATCCCCTCCCTGGGACACCACATCCCATGGTCACCTCTTTGGATGGGGTGGGCTGAGCTTCTCCATCCCACGCGCACACTTTGCTGATGTTTATACCGCTGCTGGGACAGCGTTGGGTCTGCCCTGGTGGTGCCAAGCTGAGGCTTTCTGGATCCCAAAATCAAGGCTTAGAGTCTGGAGACATGCAGCCAGCCTTGGATGACCCAAATCCTTTCTCAGACAACACTGAGGTCATGAGGGGGTGATGAGCTTGCTGGGACCCATCCGTTCTCCACGTGCTGTTTGAGTGAGGTGCAGCACATGGGGTCATCCCACCTTGCTCATCACATCAACCCATCTTCATCCCTCCTCCATGGCAGGAGGCAGCACACACATACACTGCGCTTATGGACATTTCCTTTCTGATTTCCAGCTGAAATACCTTCCTCCAGCCAGATCCCCTGCCCCTCTGCCTGTCTGAGCAACCTGGCTTTCTGTGGTGCTGCTTTTGGGATGCTTTTTGTCCACACAGCACCGCTGTTGTGCTTTGTTTCTGATATAATCTATGCTTTCTGTGTTTGGATGTGGGCCATGAGCATCCTCTCCAGCCTGGGGCTGAGCATAGCATCATTTGGCTCAAGGAAGAGGGGCTGAGCTCTCCCAGCTCAAAATATCCCTTTGGGGCTGAACAACGAATGGAGACATTTGCTCCAACAGACGCTTGCACCTTTAGCTCTATCATTCAGCATTCAGCTGGGTCCCATTTGCAGGGTTTTTTTTTTTTTTTTTTTTTTCATTCCTTTTGGCTCTTTTCCACCCAAAATGCCGGCAGAGAAGCGACACATCACATCTCAGCCTTGCAGAGCCTGGGCTGCCTCCAGGTCCTGGAGAAACCCCATCCTGGAGCATCATCCCCTGCTGCTCAGCACGTAGGGCTGCTGCTCCAGATGTCTGTGCTGAAGGAGCTGGGTGGCTCCAACGTCACCCTGTTCCATGGGGTTTTCTTGGGGGCAGCTCTGGGACTTTTTCCTTTCTTTTTTTTTTTTTTTATTTTTATTTTTTGCCTTTTTTTCTTTTAGTTCTCTGTCCACTCTGTGTCAGCCCTGCCTGTCTCTGCAGATGGGGATGTGCAGCTCCCCACGTCTGCAGGGGCTCTCCAGCCCCATGAGTGCCACCCCTAATGACATCAGCGTGGTCATGGCTGAGGGAAATTAATGAATTAATGCCACAAAGCAAATATTGTCCTCCATTCCACACTCATGACACCAGAGAATTGCAGTGCAAGAAAACAATTGCTCCTCTCAGTATCCAGAAAACAGGAATCTCCCCTGCCTGCTTGCAGAGGGCCCTTTGCTGGAGCTGCAGGTGTGACATGCATACAGGCTACAGCTGGGTGCTTCCAGAACCTTGTAGTTCAATCCTTGCATACTTGCACTAATAAATAGCTTTTCCTGCACTGAAAAGTCTCTGCTGTTGCTCTGGAGAGAAGCTGCAGGTTGTGTTCTGTGGTGTGCATATGGGGTAAAGCCTGGTGCGTGGCAGTGCCCACTGCTACAAGACTACAGCCTGGATTTACAAAAGGATTTAAGGGCTTATTTCCTGCTGCTCAGGCACCCAAGTGCCTTTGAGGGCTTGGGCAGGAGGACTGATGTGCAACTTGGCAATCTCATTTTGTTGCTTGCAATGGAAACAGCTGGGACCTGAGGACAGAAGTGCTTTCCCCTGTCAGATCTGCATGGTGGCAACTTGAAGAATGGAATGGAATGGAATGGAATGGAATGGAATGGAATGGAATGGAATGGAATGGAGTAGAGTAGAGTAGAGCAGATAGAATGGAGTAGAGCAGTAGAGTAGAGTAGGGTTAAGTAGGGTAGGATAGAATGGAATAGAATATCCCCAGTTGGATGGGACCCCACAAAGACCATTATGTCCAACACTTGGTTCCACACAGGACTACCCAAAATCTCAGCTGTGTCTGAGAGCTTTGCCT